AGGGCGGGGCGGGACATGGACGTGTGTGTGTCCATGTGGGTATTTGCATGTGCACGCGGGTGCGTGTGGGTGTGCGTGCAGGAGCACGTGTGTGCACATAGGGGTGCAGGGGCGTGCACGCGCGGGGCTGCGTGTGCTGGGTGTGCGTGCATGGGTGTGCGCTTGTTCGTACACGGTTTGTGTGTGTGCGCTTGTGCGTGCAAGGGAGGTGTGTGCCAGCCTGCGTATCCACATGGGTGTGCATGTAGGGGCGTGCAGGTTTCTGTGAGTGCACGCGTGCACACAGGTGAGCCTGTGTCCGTACCTGTGTGCTTGTGCTCTATTCCATGGGTGCTTCTGTGTCTGCGTGTGCAGAGGCGTTGGTGCGTGTGCAGGGGGGTGTGGGCACGTGTCTGTGTGCTTGTGTGTGTCTGCGCCAGGGTGGACAGCCCCGTGCGTGTGTGCACCGCTTGCCCCAGGCAGCCGGAGCTGATAATTGTGGTTGTTACTGTGAGCCCGTTAATCCCCCGAATCCCTTTACCTCCTGCTCGCAGGGGATTACAAATTAATAAAAGCAGCTTAGGGGCGGGAGCCTCCAAACACACATATGTTCCTGCCGGACGGCAGCACGGGGACTTTCGCCCGCCCGTGGGGGCAGCCGGGGAGTGGGCCCAGTGCCGAGCCCCCGAGGGCCCCAACCTCGTGGCACCCGCATTGGCCCCGCACCGCTAGCGAGCACCCCTGGGCACCAGGCTGCCCTCCTGCCTGCTCCAGGTCCTGCACGGTGCAGGGCTGCAGGGGCTGACGGTTGGGTCAGGACTGTCCCCTCAGATGGTTCACCTGGCCGGGGGACAGGTCCCAGCCTGGGGGACGGCTCAGACCCGTAGGGTTGGAAAATAATGCAGGGAGACATTTTGGGGACCAGAATCTGGGATTCCCCAACTAAAGTACCTAGAAGTGCCAGGCTGGAGTACAGCTGGGGTACGGGTAGAGCACTGGTGGAGCATCACTAGTACCGTGCTGGAGTAATCCTGGGTACCACGGCAAGTCCTGCTGGGTACCGCCAGCACTGGCTGCGCTGGGGCCCCTTGACCCTCCCCAGGGCCATGAACAGCTTCTGGGGGGGGCAGATGATGACTCACACGGACTCTTTTAAGCTCGGTTTTATAAGTGGATTTTTAGTCTGATCCTCTAAGGAAGCAGTTTAAGAAAGTGCGTGTGTGGTGGTGGCTGTTCCCCAGCGCACGAGGCACGGGGCAGGGTCCTGGCAGCTGTGGCTGTGCAGGGCGGAGGGCAGTGGCCGATGTCCCGCTCAGGACCACCAACGGCACGTGCCACCCCTGCGCAGCCTCATGTTTTCAGCCCCACGAGTCGCTCACGCTGTGGCACCATCTCGGCAGGTTTCCACAAAAGCCCCTTCGGATGATCTCTGCACTACGCTCGCTCTTGTGCCCTCCTGCTCGGGTTGTAGCAGGCATCAGACCCTGCCTGTAGTCTTCCTCATTGTGATTCTGTCACCATTAAACCGCCCCCCCCCCAACCATGTCTTTATTCCTGTTTTTCTCCCTCTTCCCCGGGTTCAGAAGATCACTTAGCAGCCCCTGAGAAGTCTGGGCTTAAACATATTCCTCTCCCCGTTCCCTCCTGTGGACAGACCCAAAGGCTGCACTGTCCTTCCTTCCTTCCAGGGAACTTGTGCCAGTTTGTGTACGACAGCCCTTGTCCCCCCCACCCTGACAACAGAGCATCAGATCACGCAGCAAGTTCCCAGGACAACCCTTAGCGCCTCTTTAAAACGAGGCAGCAGCCGTGTTAACTTTGGGTGGTAAGGACGGGGCGCTCCCAACCCGGCCCCAGCAGGGACAACGTCTGCGTTTGCCCTCGGGACGTTCAGGCGACGAGCCCATACGTTCGGTTCCCCAGGGGAACATTGCTGTTTTCCAGGCAAGGTCACAGGCCAGTAAGGAAACGCACATTTCCCTGGAGACGTGGGTTGCAGTGCCAAACTTCCGAGAACCTCATCTACAGGTTTAGAAATCTTACCGATTTCTAAAAATATCTTGGAGTACTTCTGCAGGTAGATAAATCAGTATTTTTAACGAGTCACCCACCCCACCTCCTCAGTGGCACTGCCGATGGCAGCAGAAGCTGCAGAAAGATTCAGAAGCACCCAGTGGAGGTTAGCACCATCCCGGCCGAAGAGGAGATGTTCAGGTTTAAGGGAAAGGAAGATCTGTGTGTGTGTGTAATGTGCAAATAATTGGTCAGAAACTGACACTTTTTCCACCACTCCTGCAAACGTTCACTGATATTTTGTAAAGTTACAGGGTAACAGTGAAAGAAACGGAGTAGAAGTTTACCTGTTCCTGGTACTTTTCAAAGTGACCAATATGGTTTGAAATGGACACGTATACAAGCTATCCTTGCAATACAGTTTAGCTAAAAAGAACTTGAAAATACAAGTAAAAAGCCAAAACGCACCACTCTGCCCAAATGTTTGCAATTTATTTTAAACAAGCACATTTCTTTACAATTTAGTACAAAACGGTCACTTTTCCTTCCTAGAGAGGTATGAGACTGAGTAAAAAACCAAACAAACCAAAACAGAATAGACTTGAGAATGCCAAGTTACTCAATTAAAATAAATAAAACATTTAAATTACTGAAATGGTACATTCACTATTTTCAACACCTCGTATGCAATGCACAGACCTAGACAATACACCCTGGACCTTTAGTTAAGATGGCAGTTCCCATCCAGTTCTGAGCAGGAACAGCAGGATGGATACACTGCTGGCAATTAAAAATTAAGAGTTCTCAGGAATAACTTCATTAGGTTTCTTCAGCGCTTGCAGCTTTTCTCTCTCTCCTGGCACATTCCACAGTACTTTTATTTTCTATGCAGGTTTAATATTTCCTCGTTAAAAAGATCTGAAGAGCAAAGGCGGCTCCAGGAGTTACAGAGGGCCAAGAAATCCTTCTCGGAAATGACTGCCACCAGTCCACAAATGAAAGTGGCATTGCAGAAACTTCCGTGGTACAACACGAAACACAAATAAAACCCAGGACTGAGGGGATGGTGGTTTGAGGCAATTTCTAAAAAGGAAACACTTTCTTGTAACTCACCCACCGACAATGCACCACGGCAAAGCAGCATCACACACTCCCCAGCAGACATAATATATCTTTACAGAGTACATAAAAGGACATAATTTGGCATTATAAAGACAGAAAATAAGTAAACCAAGATTTACACAACCGAATTCAAAGTCAAGAAAACTTTTCCGGGTGAGTTCACTACTAGCAATTAAAGTGAAAGCCTTAGCCAGTGAGCTGGCAACAGAGTTAGAGCACCAACGCGGATAACCAACACCCTAATTTCATGCTTTTACACTCTTAAGAAACAAAAAAACCCACCCAGTGGAAGTTTGAGTGGCGGGGGGGTTTTTTTTTTTTTTCCAGCAGGGTCACAGCGACGTGGCAGCTAACGGTGTGTAGCAAAACCAAACCCAAACCTTATTCCAAAACCACATGTGCTGCTGTTTTAATGGCAAAATCATCCCTACAAACCTTCACAGCCTTTTGTTTTCATATGCAGATGAAAATAAGCAGAATGAGTCAAAGATAACAAACGCAGGTCTATATATTCGGCAGAGTTCTAAACAGCAGCAGTAATGACCCATTTTCAACTTCAAAATGTGCGACAAAACCGACGGCAGGAAATTCAATAGTCCCACAGAAACCGGTCACGTCTTTCGGATCCAGTACTCGCTATGCTGCCGTTTTGGTTTTTTGGTGTCTGGGTGGGGTTTTTTTGAGAAGCTAAGTGTCCTTGCTTCGTGGCTGATATCCGCATCTCCCCAGATTAGGTCACTTAAAAGTTGCCCGATTTTCAAAACTAAATTTGGAAACCCTGGGCCTTCCTCTTAACTAACCTCCTCCTGGGACCTCTCGCTGGATTCCGGCACAAAGCAAGCGGCACCGACGAGCCAGCCTGGGCCACCTTCCGCTGCTGGTTCACTCTCTTTCTAGTTACTTACGAGTTGTTTTAATGTTCAAGCCCAGGTACTATAATTATAGGGACTCTTACAAGTTGCTAAAGAAAAGAGAGACCCACGATGGCTCCTTGTGCCAGCACTCCTGAACAGCGAGGGTCCTTAAAAAGCACAGACTGACTCAATGTCGCAGACTTAGCGATTAAATTAAAGAGAGAAGTTTCCATGTTAGACCACGGGCAGAAGCAGCTGTCCGCAGGTGCTCCCAGCGGCGCTCGGCTCCGGGGAGGCGGCGGGTGGCAGGAGGCAGGAGCTGGCCTCCAGCTTCACGGAGAGAGCACGGCGTCGAGTTTCTCACGTTGGAGCAAGAGCCATCGGGTGCAGACAACAAACGGTGAAGATGGCCTGAGAAAACCCCGGGTAACGCGCCTCTTCATGTGCTTCAGACTAGCAGCGCCATGTGAATGGAGATTTTTTCCTCTGACAGATGTTTACAATAGCCACAGAAGGTTTACTTTATGTGTATGTTATTTTGATAAACTTAAGGAACAAGGGACAGTAAATCTTTGAAGCTTAATTTTGTTATTCCAATTGGAAGCTGCAGAAACTCGCGTCAGAAATGTTTGATTTTGTGAACAAACAAGATTTGATTGAGGAAAAAAATACCCCTGTTGAGTGTTTGTGCTTTTAGACCATTCTTGTTGCTAGGCTTTAAACTTTTTATGCTAGGGCTTATGATGGAAATAAGAGGAGGACACACTAACAGCGTAAGTACAATGAATTGGCCAGGGACTATTCATTCCTTCTCGCGTAACAGAAGAGCTAGCGAACATTCAATTAAATTAAAAGTTGCAAATGTAGAATTGAAAGGAAAAGCCTTTTTATATAACATAATTAATCTGTAGAACTCACCGCCACAAGAAAACATTGAGGCCAAAACCTATTAGGATTAACTAAAGATTAGGTAATGGATAACTAGAACATGCTCAATTACATTGGATAGGATTATAAACTTCACTATCCAGGACGTGAATTATCCCCCACAGCTAGGATCAGCAAGGAACTCCTATTCCGAATGGTAATTTTATAACTGTTTTCATGGTTTCTTCTAATTGCTGCCAGCCAGGACCCCAGACAGACCTGCAAAGGCAACTGCCATATTCCCAATCGCTGCCACATCCCAGAAGGGAGCAGCTCTCGGACTTAACTGTTAGTTAAACCCTTGTTGACCCAAACGGAGGAGCACTCCAGCAGAAGGGCAAGGGAAATGGGCTGTTCTTTTAAGTCCTGTACAGACGACTTTACAGCTAGCAGGTGATACTCTCTGCGAGCTCAGAACTGGAAATACCAAGCAAAGTGTTTACCCCACCTTACAAGAAGAAAAATTATTATATTGTGACAGAGTTACCCAACATCGTAAGAAACTTAGTATTTCCAGGTCTGTAAATTTGTTCTGGCATGATGATGCAAATCCCACGGTCCTTCACTAAAAACACTGTTTCCCTTTACTGGGGTTCATCAGAATTGGCTTCCATCTGGATAAGACAGTAATTACTCAGCTACTTTTCTGTTCCATAAATGAGTGAGGCGAGTTATCTAATGCTCCATCAACACATCCAATAGAGGAGCGAGTAAAGCACCGGGTCCGAGTCTGTCCTTGCTTACATCTGAACTCCATTAAAATAGACGACAGCATTAGCAATCAGAATCAGGCTGCTTATTGAGATACAAACTGCCCCAAAACTCTCATCCTAGCAGAGACATACACATCCTTGGCTGGAACACACGGGAGAATGGAAGACTTATTTGAACACTTAATGCTTTCTACTTCAAATATGCAATGTAAATAACATTTAAGAAAGTCACATAGGTTTAGAATCAATTTAATCAGAATAGAACTCTTGTTTCCTGAAAAAAAATCAGAATTCTTGGTTCTCCAAATGAAGCGGCCAAGGTAACAGCATAACTGTTCAGGACTCTGGTAGGTAAAATCAGCTCTGGATAAATTAAAAAAAAACTGCCTTGAAGTACACAAAACAATATCCAATTTCCTTCTAAACCCAGGCACAGTTGATTGCATAATGTCATGTTTACTCTGAAAATGAGTAAAGGATGTAGGTGGTAAGTCATGGAAAAATCTTAACTGAAAAAATGCAATGCTTACTTCAGTGGACATTTTATGATAGCACTATGTGCCTCAGTTAAAGATTAGAGTTCTTACAGCGAGCTCCGTATATTAAGCAAGAACACTTGTGAAATGACTTGGGAAGAAAGGGGTTTTAGACAAGGAATACTGTATATAAAATCCCTGATCATAAATATTAAAGCTGTATCTGGTACTGAACAGCCACATACAATGAAAACTTTGTTTCTGATTTAAACTTCTATACAGATGACCGATAATACTTCACCTTCCACCGTTTAGATCTCATTCGGAAAAAAAAGTACATTATCATTAAAAATAAGGATGAGGCGACATACAGTATGACACACAGACTCATGTCTATGTTTGAAAATCCAATCCCCAAGAAAGACACGGCCTGCTTCGTCTCTTTAAGGTTAGCTGATCCAACTGCGCTTTTACCGCTACCTTTGACAGGTCCATGATTCGCTATGAGCTTATCTAACGCCTTAGATTCTGAATCTAGTATGTTTTCTTTATCCTGGCTCTTATTTTCTCTGTTTCCACTTGGTTTCTTCAGTAGGCTTTTGTCTTTCACCTCCCTTGTATCTCCCTGCTCAGTTTCACTGGAGTCAGTCTGGCTTTCAGCGTATTTATATAGAATATTTTCACTGTTATAGTGATCCTTCATGAACTGTAGAACTTGGGCTTCATTCCAGCTGTGTAATCCTTTAATTTCTTCATGACATGCAGGACAAATGTCTGGAGGTGGCCACTGAACTTTGGGAAATTTTGGATCTTCAGTCAAATCACCTAATTGGGAGGAGAAAAAAAAATATCAGAAGTGAATGAACTAGGAAAGCTGAACCATCCGACACTTCACTGGAAACCACAGAGAGTATTTTCCACTTATGAATAGCGAGGTTGGCAAAAAAAAGCCCACAGCACAATAACGTTTGTATTAAACTGAAGACGATCATGAATAAATTTGGAAATTCCTAAGTTTCCTTATGGATGCATCAATTATGTTCCAAAGTATTGCATCTTCCTTCAAAATACAAACACTCAATCATAATTATTTTCCTTTCGTCTCGGTAAAAGCTGTAGTGTTCAAATTCTAATAGAATGAGATACTACAACTGCTATGTTTTTAGAAGGCGTGAAAACACCACCATCTGGGGCTTTCAGGGGTTAAAACTTGAATTATGGTTCAAAACAAACTGAAGTGAATGCTAGGAAAGCTGAACCATCCGACACTTCACTGGAAACCACAGAGAGTATTTTCCACTTATGAATAGCGAGGTTGGCAAAAAAAAGCCCACAGCACAATAACGTTTGTATTAAACTGAAGACGATCATGAATAAATTTGGAAATTCCTAAGTTTCCTTATGGATGCATCAATTATGTTCCAAAGTATTGCATCTTCCTTCAAAAGGAAAGCTGAACCATCCGACACTTCACTGGAAACCACAGAGAGTATTTTCCACTTATGAATAGCGAGGTTGGCAAAAAAAAGCCCACAGCACAATAACGTTTGTATTAAACTGAAGACGATCATGAATAAATTTGGAAATTCCTAAGTTTCCTTATGGATGCATCAATTATGTTCCAAAGTATTGCATCTTCCTTCAAAATACAAACACTCAATCATAATTATTTTCCTTTCGTCTCGGTAAAAGCTGTAGTGTTCAAATTCTAATAGAATGAGATACTACAACTGCTATGTTTTTAGAAGGCGTGAAAACACCACCATCTGGGGCTTTCAGGGGTTAAAACTTGAATTATGGTTCAAAACAAACTGCTCTTTTGCACTCAATACTCTTTAATCCTGAAGCCTGGTTTGCAGCAAGCAGTTTCAAGGCCAAAGACTTGCAGATATTTTCATGTTTCTATATCGTGAACCATTCCATCCTAAGCTTGCTTTTTCATAGCTTGCATTATTACTGTAGCGAACTATTTTCAGCACTTTAAAAACCATTATCATATTGAAGATGTATTTCTCAGCTTGCTTTTTAGCATTTAAACATATAACGCTGTCTTGAACTAGATCCAATTTTAACATTTCAGTTGCTCATAGCTCTGGCCACCTTTCTGCCTTGATGGCAAAGAGCTGAACGCTGTAGTTAGTGTTGCACTTTGCTCTAAAAAAAATAACATTTTAAAATGTGGATGGAGATCATTTTTAGAACAAAAATCTCTACCTGGTAAAAAAGGTAATTTATTTATCTGATTGTTAATAGTACACTAATGCTTAAAATATTTCAGAAATAAATAGATTCTTATTTTGTTATTATTTTAATCCTTTTTAAAGGCAGGAAACTTCCCCATGATTTTGAGCAAAATCTTGTTTAGGGATTCAGAGAATGCTTAAAAATATTTGTCTCCTTGATATTTAGAAGTAAGAGAGCAAGTTTGCATTTCAGGTATCTTTAAATAAAGATCACTCAGTAATCAATTTGTTTCAGTAGCGAAAGTAGAAACAAAACATCTTATGGTAAGATTACAAACAGAAAACCTGCCGTACTTCATGTTTTCCTGCCAAAAAGAAGAACGCTATAAATTCTGTACATTCTAAAGCAACAGGAAAGAATTAAATAGGGCAAAGCCATATACAACGATCTCATGACCACACTTGAAGGCTGCGCCAAGGTGTTTTCATTGACCAGTCAAACATTATTTCTCACTGAAAGCTATATATATTACCAGAAATACAGATGCAGCTTTTAGGAATTAAAATAAGTCACTGTCCCAAAGAGAAATTTTAGTAAACTTAAAAAGCATAATTTAATATTATTATTTATTCCAGTATGTTTATACTTCTTACTCAAAGGGTATTTTAGCCGGCTGTTGCATCATCTAAATCAATATCCATGCGAGTTTTTCCAATAACTTAATGTTCTAAATAAGTATATTGCTCCACTACTTAGCAACTTCAAGTTAACAAGACGACTTTTTTTCCTGTGTGCAACCTGGCAACAGTAACAAACATTAGGGGATGTTTTTATTTAATAACTCATCATTTACTTTTTTCTCCTTGGAGAAAGGAGACAAACTGTTTATGCTCACAACAGTATTTAATACTTCATAAATCTTGGGAATTCAGAATAACCATAACATAAACACAGTATAGCATATTTAAATTGTAACTAATGCTACATTACACAGATCCGTAACAGCAGACAGGGATTAAGTGGAAAGAGAAACCAATTTTCTTTAGTGCTTTAGTTACTTGATATCCCCATAACAGAACGG